TCCTGCTGCCTAAAGTTTTTTTGTTTCTAGTTATACTTTCCAAGGTATGAAAAACATTGCAAGCAACAACATTGTATATGGGATGGGGAGGGTACTTCTCAAACTGGGAAGGTGTTTCAAGGCTAAAACTTGGCTACGTTTACTCTAGAATTTTCCACTTGCCAGTATAGAAAGCTTGGCATGCCGTCCCCCAAACTAAAATTTGATAGATTGTTTAATAGCTGTTATCTTTCTACCTTCTTCAGGTGACCGTTCACAACTCCTGGACAGCAGCATGCAATGTGATTTCCTATGGAAAAACTGCAACTGAGCTTTGCTCATTGAATATGCGCAACAGAGACAGTTGGTGACCCAAAACTTTCAAGTCTTAGGCTTTTGTCCAATAGATGTTTAAGTCTGTATATAAAAGTAATTCTTTTACTTTGGATAAGTTCTACTTGTCACTAGGCATATGGGTAACATTATAGACTTCATTTCAAGAAGGGCCTGTTCCTTCCTCAGAATATACTCTATTCTTCATTTAGTAACAACATCGTTTGGCCATCAGTGTGACATAGGACATATTAGTGGGTGCCTGTTTAGCTTTGTGTAAAAGAGATCAATGCAGTGAATTTCTTTGTCACCAAGTGACAATAGTATCCCTAGGAGCACTTACTTCAGAAACCCTAATATATGCTATTTCTTTACTCCAAGTTAATTTGATTGTGTGTGCATACCTTAAGAAGTTGAATCATCAGTTGATGAAGAACAGCAGACAGTACAAGTTCATGAAAAAGAGATATCTTTCTTTTCTCTGCCTGGGAATCCTTACTCTTTTCTTCCTGCAAGAAGAAACAGGGAAACTAAGTGCAAAAATCAAAGGGGAATTGGGGACCTCACGTTGGCTGACTGGTAGACTGCATAGATTTTTTTTTAAAGAACTAAAATTCTTCTTCTGACTTAAGTTTCACCTTTCTTCACCCCCTAAAGCACAGGTGAAATTTACATGTGAAAGAAGCTAGCCCCCTGAGTCTGGATGGCTTGTTTTATGAAGACTGTGCACTTACCCTGCAGTTGTGATAACCTCACAAAAAGATAGGACTAATCTCAGTTTGGCAAAAGAAGGTTTAAAGATGTTTTGACAGCTCTAATTAGTATGTTTCTAGATAGGAAATTTAATTCTCTGTCACAATAACATTTATGAGACTCATTGGTTTCATTAACGTAAGTTCTTATGTTATGTTCTTATGTACAGTGGTATTAGCAAAGAACAGCATCCAGCTTCTGGCTGAAGATGTTTTATTAGATGCCTACAGGGCTTCTACTTTTCTGGGTTATACCTAAAAGCATTTCATGAAAAAGAAAAAGGAAACTTCTAAAGTAACAAAAACCATTGCATAGAAGTTTGCATTTTTCCTCGCTAAAAAGGTAGCATCACACATTTTCTCCTTTGGAGGTCAAAGCGTGAAACTTTGGTCAGATCAAAAGTACTTCTTGTTTAATTATATGTAACCAAGGCTAGTGAAGATCTATTTGTTCATGTTAACAGGGGCTGACGTTTTATAGACAAGTAAATTTTATGGAGGGTTGGATGTATTTTCAGACCGAAAATTCCAGTCATCCATGAAATTAAAGAGTGAAAGGGTCCCTTTAAAGGAAAGTTTTGCAATCACAAATCCAGTCCATATTTTCCAACATATTTTTCTACACAATTTTTTTATCATGTTAAATAAAGATTTTGATATTAAGATGTTGATATCACCAGTAGGTCGTAGGAAGCTTATTTAAACAATTCCACTAAATAAATTTTGCTCTGGAGCGAAATCTGCCATACCTTTCTGAGAGTCAACAATCATACAAGACTTTAATTGTGTAAAATTGGTCAAAAATACAGTAGGAGTTGCGTGGACAAAAAAAAATCACATTCAATGAAAATGTTCTTTGCAAGGTCTCATGGCTAATGTCACACTGCTATTTTTGAACATCTTCAAATGTTTGAACAGCTTCTGAATGTTTTATTTAAAGAAATGAGACACTGATTCTGTGAAAATTTCCAAAAAGGGGTTTTTAAAGTTAGTCACAGAGGTCTATATTTAGACATCTGTAAAACTAGCCCTTTTATGGAGATGTTGAGCTCCTAGAATTTATGTTTATTTCAATAGGTACTGCAGCTGATCATCAGACCACTTTAATCTAGATATCACGAATCAAGCTGTTTTCTTCTAAACCAGTTTGTCACAGTCTAAATTACTGACCACATTTTCTACTACCTCAAAGCAAATGAGATAAAGGCACACTATTTAAGTAGGTCCAGGTTGTCGTAGGAGCACAATCAGGGCAAGGGGATATATTTATGTGAAATTTGCTGTAAAGATCTTCTAAAGTTTTCCTCGCTTCCCTTACCTCAAAAGAGGGAAAAATTTGGCCCTCGGGGATTGAAGAGAAGTTATTCATGTAAGTCCTATAACTCATTGTATCTCTAGCTGCCAGCGGTTTATCTGTCTCCTTGCCAATATAGCTGCAGTAGGTCTACCAAAAACATAATGCAGTCTGGCTCTGTATACGATTTTCAGTGTTAGCTTCCTAATGCCAAAGCGTAATCAATAAACCTGGTCAAAAGTTGTTAGCAAAACCTCTTTCTGTCAGGAAAAAAGCCTCCTAGTTGAGTTTTAGCTATCTGGGGGAAAATTACTAAATTGCTAACTTATTTTGAAATTAAATTATAATTTTATTACTTAAGTTGAAACAGAAGATATTAGTTCATTATTCTTATTGCACTGTAACCTTTACATAAACCTATCTGCAAAGGTATGCATACATAATTGCATTCTCTAATCTTGTAGCGCCTTTATGTGTTTGTTTTAGTGTTTCTAAGTATTTTTCTTTTCCTTTTTTAGCTCTGGACGTGTCCCTGTCTCAGGTCAGGCTGAAAACAGATCTAAATGTGTACACATTTGTCACAGGATAGAAGTTAGATTCTTACCAGCCCTATTAAATAATACATGTTTTGCTTTCTTGCTTTAGCTCCTCATATTGTGCAATTTTGGCAGCCCTCAAAGCTTCTTTGTGTTTTCCTGCAACAGCCTTCTCGGAGTCCTTCCAACTGCAAAAAAGTGGAGTGACTGCAGTTATAAGACTACTCCACGCACCCCAGGAGATATGGTCTGAATTGACTACTTCTTTCTTAGTCACATACAGAACTTCTCTGGGTGTCACAGAAAGCTCTGCACACAGCACGGGACAGCACATATGAATCTATGTTTTGTGGCCCTTTGTGCTTGAATAAAGGAATTAACTCAAGTATTCAATGCAACATCTGGCATTGCTCCACTCTTGTCATTTTCTGTCATTATTGAAGAAGTGGAGGATGGGGGGGGGAGGGTTGTAATTTTCTTATCTGAAGAGAGTCATATTAGCTAGGTTTTTTCTTTGCATATGTGTGTTTCAGATCCATGTGGAAATCTTCCAATAGTGAGGGAGTCATTCTAGCACGTAGTTTGCTACTCAGGCTTGCCTATGATTACAGTTACGCAATAAAATCATACTGAAACTGCGGACACTAACAATTTCATATTTGTGAAATATTTGTCTAATATATTGCTAGTAATAAGCAAAAGTAATAAAATTTACAAGTGATTATTTTGAAACGTTGATACATTTGAGGATATGAAGAGTTCAGACAGCATCTTGAAAGTAAAATATTAGAAGTCATTGCAAAGGAATTGAACCTTTTCTACAAAATGGGATGGAACTGTAGCATATGAGAAAGACAATCATCATGTTAATAAAAGATAAAGATACTTCTAAAAAATCCATCTGAACATTTGTGATATGAAGTTGGGAATTTTTAAGTTGCTGGTAAGCCCCAAAATACACTGATGTGGCTCACTGATAATCACAGAAGATTGTCTTTCAACCTAGATTTTTGTGTTCTCAGGAAAGACTTTTCATGCTTTCATATCGAATTACTGGTCCCTTCAACTCTAAATTCAGATGGCTTCTGATTACCTTTCTTACAGAACTGAAACACTAGCAAGATGAATAACGCTATGTGAAGGGTGACTGTCCATGGAAGGTAGTTTCATTATCAAAAATTAATGTTTGATATTTTCATGTGCCTTTTAGAAAGCATGACATATATTTGTAAGGAAAAAAGCCCTTCAGGATCAAAAAATTATCTACATGTGAAGCATGTGAAGCATGTGAAGCATGATCTGCAATTGTTAGCTATGTATGTGTGTTTAAGTAGTTTTATACACATAGACATTCATATAGGAAATAATAGAGTTTGGGAGCTTTAGAGAATTGCATGAATTAAATGCCTGAATTTTCAGGCATATAAATGCCTTTTAACACGTAGCCCTTAGTTCTTCATTCTTGGATGAAAAGGGAGAAATACTTTGCTATTTAGCAAGCTGGAAAATAGTATGAAATATTATGAGCTACTGTGATAGCAGAGAAAACACAGGTGCTTCAGACAGATCCTCACCTAATGCCAAAGCTTTAGTAAATTTGGCAATGCTCCACTGAAATAAATTAAATTATGTTGATTTATGGTAATTGAGAAGCTGGCCACCAAATCAGTTGTATAAGTTTTCTATACAGTTTTATCTAGCTTAAGATCATGCCTTTTGAGTGCAATTTCTTTCGCTTCTGGACTTTCTTTATGTTCTAATCAGTTTTACCATAAATTTCAATGGTTTAATTGTAGATGGAGGGGTCAAAATATTTCAAATGTTAAAATTGGGACCGGAATCTGTTGTCTTGTACTAATATTATCATTATACTTCAATACTAAAAATATTTCAATTGTATTGCTTGAAAGAGGTCCTAAAGAGGTCCTAAATGTAAGCCAGAAGTAACGGAAGGGATAAGGTTCCATTTTTATTCAGAAGTTCTTTCAAGCAATTAGCAATTCTCAAAATAAAGTTAGTAGTTCTTAGCAGAGCTGATTTACCTTAGTACAAGATGGGATAGAAATTGTTTTTCTGAAAACCTATTAGCCAAAGGTGCAATCCCATGCCAGTACCTCCCTACCTTTTAAAATCACAGTAGCTCTTGATGGGTAAGCTCCAGGGTAACCCCACGACCATCACATATAAATCTCAGTGCTCCATATGCATACAGAAGCACTGACATTGGAGAGCAGCTTGTTGGGCAAAATACATTTGTGTCTGCTTATTTGAACTGCCGACACTGAAAACTGGAAGAAGAAAATAAAACAAAAAAACACCCATGGAGTTAGAACTTTAATTAGTTAAAATTGATAAATCAAGCTCAACGAGGTAGTGTACTCTGCTCGAAGATCTGTCCTCAAGTTTTTCAATTAACTTATGTCTGCTGGTCAGCCTATAACAAATCTCTTGTAAAAATACAGTAGCTGTGTTCATATAAAATCAATAATTCAGGCCAAAAATAGGAAACAAAAGTCCTAATTGTTTCCCAGAGGATGCCTTTTGCTTTTCTTTTTCAGTGTCTATATAATACTCCTACATCGACCACCCTTGAGAGAAGAGCAATGTCATCAGCTTCCTCTCTGATTGTTTTTCAGTATCCAAAAGCCAGGCATGCCACTGTCTACTGGAAGGACGACAGAGGTTTGAGTTTAATTAAGCAATTAAACTCGATTTCTTTACAGTATTTGAAGCTATGAGTAGCTGCTGAAGCTGACTAAACACTGATGCAAAGCCTGAGGTGTTTGATCAGTTCAAAAAGTCATTTTATGCCAAGCAAGGAACAAAGTGATAAAGATTATTCTTGTCATTACATAACAAATCGTAATATAAAAATAACAGGAGTTACTTGCACTCTGATTTTGAAGTGTTGCTAAAATCTTTTTCCCGAATGTCTAGTGAGATGGCAGTACACAGACCTCTACATTTGCCAGCCTCACAAATTGAAAGGAATGTACTGACGTTTTCTTCTTCGTTAGGTTAAGTCTGAGGCCACTCTGAAATGAAAAATCCGGTACATGAAGAGTCATACATGTACTATTTTGTCCCAAATATAGAATAGACTATTCAAAAGTCTTAGGTAGTATTAAAAATGAAAAACAGTGGTGGTTTTTTGAAGGCAATAATAGATTAAAGAACTATCTAAAGTAATACAAGGACTAGATTTCGGGGAGAAGCACTGAAATATGCACTCATGTAACTTATACCGTTCTAGCTCTCAACCAAGGTACCCTTTGCAGACATTAAAAAATCCAACCTCACAATATCCCTCTAAGATGTATATATGCTACTCCTCTATTATTAATTAATAGTTTATAAAAAGGAGATATACAAAGCACAAATGATTTGCCCAAGTTCATTCAAGTGTGCCGCATCTTGATGCTAGATCCATTCATACTTTCAGATGGAGTGCTGGGTTAAAAATATCGAACAATAATTCATTTCTGATTGAATCTGTGAAATATTACCTCTACGTGAAAAACACCAATTTGCATATGCAAATACATATTCTATACACGTATATTTTATGAAATTATTTGTGCATATGTTGAAATCACAACTTAGGTGTCTATTTCAGCTGACGAAGATGCTTTAATAGGCAGTTTCCACAAGCGGATGGAAGAAAGGGAAAATATAGTCAACACCTTCAGTTCATATTCATAATAGCAAGAAATACTTTATTTTCTTGGCTGTGACTGGATGGATTTTTCCCCTTAAAGTCCTGAGAATTGCCTTTATTTGCTAAACTGACCAAGCCATTGAAATAGCTGAGTAGTCTTTGGCTCATATATGTCGCACTACGAATCAGTCTTCATATCATTATCTTTCTCATGTTTTAACAAGTTAGATTTATGCACAAACTAGCCTCTATGCTGTACAGACAGAACTCAGTATGTTCCCAATCAAGAACTTATTTTTTTTTCTAATCATTTTAATGTAATTAAATACTAACATGCAGCTTCTTTCACCTTACCACCTTCAATTTTGTGGAGCTCTTTGATATCTAAATACCACTAAACCCTGAAATTAGAGAGAAATATTTCAAATATATTGTCGATGCATATGTTGTTACAGGGCTAGCAAGATGTCACATGCTGTTCAATGATAGATAGAAACATGCTGAAATCTCTTTCGTTAACACAGGAAGCCAGGTGTCTCCTTTTAAGTCACACTTTGCTGTCTCTGTAGATGTTAATTAATAAAACTTCCGAGCTCTTTTAGTTTAAATTGATTTAAACCCTTGCTCCGTATATGATATCTTAAGCCTGAAAGCAATTTTTATCCTTGCTATACTGATTGAATTCAATTAACTTGCTCCCTGTTTAATATTATAAATAGCCTCATCTTTTAAAAAACTCTTTTAAAACTCCTTTCAAATTTCTTCACATAAGGTCAGGTGCTCCCTGATAATTGTGGATATCCCAGATCCAACAAGGAAAATAAATGGCTAAAAAACTAGAACACTTGGCTAAGTGTTGCTCACAGTGAAATTATATCAAGAAAAGGAAAGCAGGAAAACAAGCAAGCAAGCAAGCAAGCAAATAAGCAAGAAAACCAAATAGAGCTTAATAACCTGCCGAATTTGCAAAAAAGAACTTGAAGCAGAAAAGATAGTTATGCGAAAATGCATAGTTTAGCACACATCAACTGAACAATCAAACTCTAAAGAAAGGTAATGTTACAGTCTTCAGGTGACATGGATCAAAAGAGAAAGAATTTTGAAGTGCTGTGCAGCTCTGAGAAAGCAGTTTGGATTCTCATATGTATGAAAAGGCAGGGTGAGCATTTGAATGCCAGTAAAAAAACATTAGCAATTAGGCATTTGATTATTATATTTTAGTGTTTTTAATCTTAACTAAGATTAAAAATTACAGAGCAAGAAGTAACAGCAGGTGTCCCAGGTGTACCCAGGTGTACAGCATCAGTGTCCAGAAAATAACTTATTGAAGGATTGTCAGAACTGTTTAAGGAAGTTAAAAGCTCAATCACCTTTAACTTAAACAGGGACAAGGCCCCTGAATGTTTATAATATCTTTGAAAATGACAACTCTTGTAAACAAGGAAGCAGTTAACTGTTGCGATGTGAGGCTTTTGTCATGTTTTGCTTCTGTTTTTTTTTTTTTCCCAGTAAAAGAGAGAAAACAGTGGAGAATTACGTAAACTCACCAACTAGAGCAACAGCCCAGTTACAGATGATGGAGGTAATGATAACAGAGAATATGCTTTCCATGATACACTTCCAACATGGATGGCTGAGGAACCTGCATGCAAAAATCCAACATGTATGTATATATGATGAACACTAGAAGTGCAGTATCACTTCTTGTTTCAGCTGAATAAAGGCAGCAAAGATATTTGCATCTGTTAATATGATGATGATAACATCCCAATGAATTCTAAATGAGGTTAGGGACATCATATCTAATTTTAATTTTTGGGATAGAAGCACTGATGGGTTTTGTTGTCCCTGAAATCCTACTTCAGAAGGATTTTTCCCACTGTCTGGTTCCAGTAACTTGAAAGGTAGTCCTTTAAAATGTTGTGATTTTTCTCTCTTCCTTCTTGCAATCACACAGAGACAAGTTAATCAGTACTTTGATTTTGTTATTAAAAAAAAATCCTTTAAATAATTATTCATAACCTTTCAAGACTGTAAGAGTTTATATGTAGTATCTATTTTATTTTGCAGCACGTGTGTTTATAGCTAATCCACAGCCTGTTAGTGGGATATTTAAAGAACTCTTATACTAGAAACCTATTACAGTACTATTGAGAACTTCCAGTAATTTTCCTTAGCGTGAAGGTCTGAACACAATATATATGATCTAATTTTTAAAAAATCATTTTTTTTTCAGACATTCTATGCTGTTTTCCTATTATTGTCAGCTATAATGTTGAAATGAAACTGAAGAGAGTAGTAAGAGTACTGTTTAACAGTACTAAAAAAGCACTCCTTAACATTTATGGTGTTGACGAACATATAGAATCTGTTTTTTATTATAATTATTTTTAAAAATTGTGGAGTGTGCTTGATTAAAAAGACAGGAAATTTAGTGTAAGGCTATTCATTTATTTATTTATTTATTTTATTAAAGGCACTCTGCTTAACGTTATCGCCCTTTGTAAAAGTTTGATTTTGGTCTCCAGTGCTGGTTTGAACTCAAGAATGCCATACTACTCTGGATTCAATTGGATCAGAACATGGTTTCTTGAGGCTACAACATCAGTACGACATTTGAAAAGAAATACAACTTACTACCTTGTTTCTGTCTAATGTGGACTGCTTATTCTTTAATTAAAGAAAAAAAAATGAAGGAAATTAAGACTGCCTCTATCAGAATCTCAGACAGGATTTGCATCTGGACATAGAAACAACAGTGAATGTATAACAGTGCCAGGACTGCTAACATTTTTTAGCAGTCCTGCTAAAAGGTGCCTGTAGCTAGGTGCTTTTCTGCAGCCTTCGTCCCCAAGTATAAGTCACAGTCTGAAGACCATACTCAAACAACACATCTTTGGAGTTCATTGAGTTGTTTGTAGTAGGTTTGAAGATCCTAAGTTTCATTCTCTTGCTTATTTGGAAAATATAGCAAGAGGAAAGATTCACATTCTCTATCAGAGATGGATGGTTTATTGAACCCCTGAAAATTTGATGGATTATAAAAAAATCTTGATCAACTGCACTCTTCAGTCAGTCAAATTTTTGCTTTTTCTAGCTTTTTGTAGCCATTCCATTTGTGTTCAAATCTGCTCCTTTCACTGCATTCACCTCTTTCTACCATTACCTTCTCATTCTAGCTCTCCATTGTTTTCAATGAGCCATTTTTCTCTCCACATTTCTCATGTATGTATTCCTTTTTAATCCCACCATTAGTCCCTTTCTCATTTCATCCAGTAGTCCAGGTTCATTTTTACCTCAAATTATGTGTGAGGTATATACAGCAGGGTAAAATGAGCATACAATGCTACTCAGTAAGTTTAAGATCTATGTAAACTTTTAGAAAATGGCCTATTCGAAGTTAGCAACATAACTGAGGAGCAGTGCAGGAATACCAAAAGCTTTAAGATTAGTCATAGGGTGGAAATACAGACTTAAAAAACCATATGCTTACAAATTATCCCTTGATTAATTTTCTCTTATTGATAAAAACCATAAGCAGTGATGTCCTAGTACCTTTAAACCTTACATATTTGATTTTTTTCGGAGACTTTTTGCTATATTTCATTTTGTACAATTTTGGAGAAAATAAAGAGGAGGAGGAGGAGGAGGGCAAATCCTCCTTTGTAAAACTGATAAATCTTCAGCAGGTCATCTTCAAGAGTGTTGGAGTGAAATGAAGCCCATGTTTCTTTTCCCTTATATTGATCTGGCTACATTAATGGACTGTTGGCTCTGCACTCTGTTGTTTCTCAGGGTTTAATTGAATTTGTTTTCTATCTAAAGATAACTACAGGTTGAGTACCAGATGACACTATTTTCCTCAATAATAGTCAATTTTCTTTTACAGGAGAATTCTTCCTCGAGCGTGTGTTTGCATATGTATGCTTCTTTTATGTATGAATGTATATTCCTATGTCTGTATGTATATTTATAATGGTTTCTGACTTGGGTTCACTTTCTAGGCAAAGAATTGTGACAATTAAAATGGCAGGCTACTAATTCCTACTATCAGTGGGTACATATGATGTACCATTCTGACGAGGGTACTTAGTAGATCTGATATTTGAAATTTTTGCTTCTGGAATGATATACCCCTTTTAATTATACAACTTTATTAATGGAAATAAAAGTAATCAGATGATGACTATAAGCAGAAATTAGCTCATTTTTAGCAGTCCTTCATTGGTAACATTTTTGTGCACACCTTAATTCAATTCTTAACCTACAAAGATTATATAAAAGGCCAGCTAGTACGCCCAGTGAAGTGTTGGTTTTTTTAATTAATCGACACTCCAACAGCCACTTCCTGGGTTTTGTTTCCCAAGGAATTATATGCATGCAAATGTTACACTTAATTGCCTGGAGTGAAAGTGCAAGCCTCTTTTCTTAATTTTAATTAGGAAGTATTTCCCCTTTTAGAGTGGCCTGTGAATACTTCATGGCAGATAATCAGAGCTGAAACATCATTTGGTCTGTGCTTGCTGCATCAAGTGTTTCTTTGATTATGAATAAACAATTGTACCATATTAACTCCACAAGATTCTGTATGGGTTTGAGGATGCCGTTGCACTGGATTCTTTGTAAATGGAGAGGAAAGCTCCTGAGACACAAATTGCTGGGACAAAAGACAGAATGGGGAATAATATACAAGCAAAGGAGGTATTTGGCAACCAAGCTGCTTGGTTTTGTCTTGTTTTCACTTAGGTAGAAGTAAATGGAAAGCAGAAATTTTAACCTTGCAGGTAGTCCTAATATTTATTTGTTTCAGTTCAGTAAAACCTGCCTTTCCTGATGAAAAAAATAGTTGTAGTGAATAATTTCTGGCTAGCTCTAGAGGTTTAGTTTGGTTTGGCTTATAAGTAGTTGGATAAAAGCAAGCCCATAGCGAAGAGAGGACAAGAGGGGGATCGAATGAAGACGACACAGCCTTGGTTCTGCTTGTGGGGGTTGAAAGCTGCCAGCACAGTGTCAGCTGGAAGACAATATGTAGGAAAAGGAGGTAGGATGTAGCAGCCCCATGGCATATTGCCCAGAAGAGGAGGAGAAAAGGCCCTCCATGGTGTTTGTTGAACTACCCCATGTGCAAAACCATCTTGCTGTGTCTCTGTATTCTTGTGATTAACCTCTTAATTAGCAGAAATGCTTGAGATCATAACAAGAGCAGTGTATAACCATCAGAAGTCATCCTCTGCTAAAGTATGTGCCAAAAAGTGGGGTTTTTTGGGCCTTTCCATGAGAATTGATTTTTAAACTGTGAGCCACTATTTGTGTTCTTTGGATATGCACAGTCACCAACTGTAGTAAAAATACTACTATATTAGAAAGTGAATTTTGATTTTACCAAATATTTAAGTATCCAGGTTTATATTCATTATTTCAGCCAGCTAAGTTTCACGGCTCATGGAAAGCAAACACGAAAATGTTAGAAACGTGACACGAAATTTGCTTTCAAATTTAAACTGTTCTTGGGGAAAAATGCATTCCTCCTTTCAATCAGCTCTAATTATGATAGTATTAACAGTTACCTTCTGTTCCATGCAATATTATTTTAGGTACTTCCTTATGGCAACCCTATGTTAATAGGTACCATTTAATGATGATGATTGATTGTTTTTTTTTTTTAATTTCCTTGCAAAATGTTTTAGAGGAAGGCTACTGAGATGGAAAGTATTTCACTTTACACGATATTTGTTTCCTAAACCTCCAGATATACTGCTGCTTGAGTGATCATTTCTTTAAACAAAAAAAAAAAAATAATTTTCTATTTCTGAGCATCTTGTCATAATCCGGTGTGAATCTTGAGTTCTGTAGAAATGTTTTTTACCAAATACGTTTGTTGTAGTGTATAATCTGCAATGCTAAAAGTCAGTAGGTAAGCTTCCTGCTTTGAAATTAAAGTATTTGTCCTTTCTGGTTAACATTAAGACGGAAAGGATCTCTCAGTTCCTTGTCTGCCTTTATTTTATTGATTGTGGACTGCCTGCTCATCTTGTTATGTCAGGTTTGAAACTGAGCTTTAAAAATTCAGTGGGTAGCTATATTTTCCGGAGATGGAATCATAGATGAAGGTTTTCTTCACTTCTTTCTTTGCTGTTGAATTCTTTTTGAGTGCCCTCTAGAAAATTAGCTTCTTCCTCTCCAAATATTTCTATAGATAATTGATTATATTTATGAGGTACTCACATGTATAATGTAAAAACTGTAAATGTAAAATACAAACAGTGTAGTGAAATTCCTAAAATTCACATGAAAAAAGAGAGAGGGAGAGAGAAGGATGTGGACAAAAAGGCAGCAAGGGACATGGAAGAGATTAATACTACCCCAACAGTGATATACCCAACATGTGTTTTGAGGATAAAAATCTAAATGTACTTTTTAAATGCCAGAAGAAATGAATGAAGTAAAGTTTCAAGTGGTGGGAGCAGGTTGTCTCCGCTGTTTCAAGGCAAGGCTCAAGAAAAGTACCTGGAATATATTTCACTCTTCAGTTTTGTAAAATAATTAAAACAAAATTCTTCCCCCCCCTACACACACAGACACAAGCATAAGCTTAAAATCAGTCCATCGTGTCTTAAACAGGCAATATGGGCTATACCATGCAGATGTAATTATACATTCTGAAACAGCTGCTTGTGACAGGGTTTGCTGGCAACCCTGCTAAGAGAAAATTACAATTATCAAGTGTTTGGTAAAAAGGGCTTGTGCTGCTGTTGTGAGGCTTCACAATACGTAAGGGTAC